GGCATGGATAGTCACAACATCTTGAGGGTTCTGGCCAAGACGCCCAGTGGAGACGAAGAAGTCTGGAATAAGACAGGAATCCAAAGCCCGTCCTGGCTGAAGGGCTCCATCACTGTGTCCACACCCAGCACTGAGAGTATCACTGTGAGTGTTAGCAGGGCACTGTACATGTTGCTGTAACCATCAAAAATGGGGAATTATAACTGAGAGCAATATGGCAAATGGAATTATTTATCAGTTTGGTCATGAAGGGAAAAAGTGATTTAAAGTAGTGTGTTTTTCAGAAATCACTGTTGGACTTACATACCATACCCCCCAATTAATTACTTTGTTAAAATCAACACTGGAGACATGAATGGAAAAAAATGTTTTAGCAAATTGCTGTTGTCCAAACTAAAATTTTGCAATAAATTCATGAATTGTAGTAAAGGAGATTTTCCACATCCCCCATCATGCCAGACAAAGGCACAATATACACCGGATTGCATAATTAATATTTACAGAGATTGGGTATATTGTATTTCAGTAAGAAGAGATCAAATGGAAGTGAATAACAAAATTTATTGAGTTAAGTAACATAAATTTTTGGCGTTTAGACTTCATCGATGTTAATTATCTTCATTAGACATAGGCCCATAAGAACATAGGAGATAGTACAGATCCTCAGAGTCTAGACACTTGTGGTAGAGTAGAGCCAGCTGGTGGCTGATGGAGGCCTGGGACACTGAGAGTGGGCATCATGACGGTGATGCAGAGGAGGTGGGTTGCGCATGATTGCAGAATGGCAGCCAGTGAAACACACACAAGGATCACTGGACAGATAGCATCTGAGAGTTCTAATTTTGGTTAATTTGATCTCAAATAAGGTGAACATGGAAATGCAAGCAAAGTAGAGCTGTGAAAACTTTTTTTTAATGATATAGCATAACAGACTTAATAACTCAAAGCTGCATTGTGTGAATGATACTCATAAGCCTATCTCATAATGCCTGCATTTTGATTAAACTTCAGAAATTTTAGATGACCCTTATAGTGAGTTTAAGCAATTTTAACAACATTTTAAAATGAGAAAGACTTGAAAGAAATTTAGACTACATTTTATATGGGTTTATTCATGTTATGTGCCATTCGCACCTGTCAGTGAGCGAACAAGAAAGAGGCGGACCCAGGTAGCCGACTTCGATGCAAGCAGTGATTTATTATGTACAGTGATGAGGAGAAATAACAAAATGCACAGAGGGAAATAGTGCGTAGTCCTGTCGATGAGTAGTAACCGGGTGTTGACCAACAGTAGGAGGTGAGGAGATGGAGAGCTGGGCCGAGCTGCGTAGGCTGGGTCACTCCTGGGCTGGTCGGTGGTGATGGTGGCTACTGAAGGTGGAGACAGAGAGATGATGACAATAGAACAGATAGGCGACTGAGCATTGACCTGCCTGGGAGGGGAGAGTGGAGCCACGGTCCAGAGGAACAGTCCATGGGGAGAACACAAAACAGTAGCTGGCTAGGGGATAATAATATACAAAAAAAAAAACGAGACAGCACGGAGAAAAAATGGCCTAGAGACAAGAACGAACTGGCAAAGGACTGAGGAGTGAAACCGGGTAATATAGTGAGCAACCTAATCAAGTGCAGCTGGTGATAAGGGAGTGAGGAACAGGTGAACGTGATTAGTGTAAATGGGCAAGAGACAGTAGGAAAGGTGAGGGAGGCCAGAGCGGCCGAG